ATAACATTTAGGCATCAATCCATTGGAATTCTGTACACTAATATCACTTAATTGACAATTTTAATACCTAATCGTTGTGTCAAAAATAAATCAGAAATAACTATAAAAATAAAAAAATTCCTCTACAAACAGATATAAATAAAAGTAATTGTCATGAAGTAATGAGTCATAAAATAAATTTCCAGATTGCACAAATAGTAAAAATGCATTGCATCATCTGTTTACTACTAAAGTTACTTTCTATAGCAAGTCTATACAGAACATATAAATTACTTTAGTGTAGAGTATTCCTGATATTCTATTATAACTAACTAACTATAAATATATTAGTTTCAATCATTTAATGACTAATATGGAAAAATAAACAAGAATTTTTATAAGTTAGGATTAGTTCCAATAGATAGTTTTATAATTAAAATAAATGTTAACTGTAAATAAGAATGAAACAGATGATGACAAGAAAGACTTATTTGTAACTTGGAAACCTATCAGTAAGTGTTGTTTTTGAGAAGAGAAATATAGTTTTTAATTATTGGACAATATAATTATGCTACACCAGAACAAAATCTTAAATTCTTTCATACTTATTGTTTCCTTGCTGCAAAACAATCATGCCACGGGATCAGTATAAAAATATCCGACCCCATTCCTTTACAAAAGAACAATATGTATCAACAATGGTAAATATAAAATGGTAAATGATAATGCAAATTTCAATGCCAATAAGTTTATGATACCATAAGACATTTTGCCACCATTCACATGAATCATGAAGCTACTTTTAGACATACAATTTATTTAAGAGTAAGTCTAATGAATATTTTAGCTATACCTTTTTAGCTGTTTTCTTTTGTTTTCCACATTTAGTAATATTACAATAATAAAATGTAATATTGGTTACATTATTATTAAAAATGGAAATTTCACACTAAATACCAAGTCTCTCACACTACAAAAGCAACATAAATAATAAAAGAATACTATTTTATCAAGAGGTTGAAGTGTCAGTGGAAGTGTATTGCCTTCAACCAGGCAATACACTTCTGACTGATCTCACATTCTACCTAAAATTACTTCAGACTCCAACTCTGTAGCAGAGGAGTTATGGCATTGGCCTATTGCTATGAGGAATGAAAAACTCCAGAAAATTTTTTGGAGTCGTCTGTCCCAAACATGTCAGGTTCCATTGCTTCATCATGAACCCAGCCAAATCCACAACGGGCTCGACATAAGGTCCGTTTAGCATCCATAGGACTGAGAGAGTATAAAAACCGCCCAAGTATAACTTCATATTCAAAACCAGTTTAAAGTTTTATAATGGCAATGAATGCTTTATAATGAAGTTCTATACATCTGTACACAAATTAAAATAGCCAATGCAGATGTAGAAGTGGGACATTGTCAGTAAATTCTATTAGTGTATAATGGTACTGTGATTGCAACATGGTTTCATCAGTTTTTCTACAGATTATATCAAAGTGTACAAATTTCTTTCAAGTTTATGTCCTATTAAAATGTCTCTTATTTGGTGAAGTTTTGTCATGTATGTATATATGTTACAAAGTTTTTTAAAACAAAATTAATAACGTGTATACATATGCTAAAATACTAAAAAAGGATCTATGTATCAAGACCAAAGTGGGACCTGTTATGTTCAAAATGCATATCATGAAATAAATGTGTAAGATTATTCTGCAAATTATGTCTATCAAGGTCATTCTGTTCCATGTATGATGAGCTTATCTTTGAGAAAAGTGCACTAGCACAAAACTAATTAAAATCTTCTACAAGGCTTGCAATTCCTAGACAATCGGTGCAAAGTGTTAAATTTTACACAATTCAAATAACCCTGAATCACTATTAAATGAACTAACTAAAAATATCTACAGATTTCTTCCGGGAATTTTATAAATTAATTAGCATCAAAAGTTAGTCTTGAATAATTACCATCTCATAAGTATTTTAAGAATTAGAAATAACTTCAAACTTTGAAATTAATTTTAAAAATATCTTGAAACTAGAAGAAAACTTAATGTTAGAGATGGTAAAGGCACTCAATTTTTTATTTAGTTTTAAATATCCAGTTTGTGCAAGTCTCAAAAACAGCATTACATTTTATGATTAAAATCTTCTTACAAAACATGATTTATTCATTAGAACTAGCATTAATAATAGCAAGTTTATTTTTAAACACAGATGTTTACATTGTTATTCTCTTAGATAAATATTTACAGAAGCAACATAGCTTATCACAATACATTTAGAATAATTTTCAAATTTTTTAGCATCTATTATCATTTATATATTACAGATTGTAAAGAGAAAAATAAATTTAAAGTATGCCAAATTGCCAAAAGTGTTAAATTCCTACATATACAAAATGGTAGGATACTCATACTTTCTGCATATATATGCAAAGGACTGTTTATTAAGCAATCATTTAATTCATAACATATTCTCTACATGACTCCATTTATCAAAGTGTAGCTGAATATGTTCATCTCATTTTTAGTGAAAACACATTAACTGGTTTGACATTATGCATTACATACCTCGCAAAATGTATTTCTTTGGCTGTTCCCTGTTTTAAAGCTTTGTCGGGTACTTTATGGCCTTCAAGCACCGTCAAAAAATTGGAGGATAAAATTCGAGGACAAAGCCTACTGATATATTACGTAGAAAAACTTTTGACTCTTACTAATCATTAAGGAAAAATCACATTCGTCATTTTTTCTAACAAGAAATATTTATGGTTTCCAATCCAATAAATTTTTTATCAAACTTTATTGAAATTTGCTTTATACTTTTACAAGTAACAGTCTGAAGACAAATTATGTATAAAGTTATATAAATTATAAGCATAAACATTATATCTAATTACCAACTTAAAAATGAAATATTAAATTAGCCTCGCATTATAATTTTATTGAAGAAATTAACTTATAATGAGACCTTAAACAGCTTTTTTACAATGCAATAAAATTTTAGTAAGAAAAAAAATATAAAAACAATCATTACTGTAAAATTTTTTAGATTAGACAGCATAGACTACCTGTTTCCAAGTCTTGTGTCAGTTTTTGTTATATCTAACCACTTATCTTATTTTTAATATCAGGAGATAATCTATATTTTGAGGTCCTATAAACAGAATTACAACGAGTTTTTTCTGGTACAAAATGATATAAGATCACATATAAGATGACAGTTTCGACCATTCTAATCTGTTATATCCACCTACAAACTCACATAACAGATAAGGAATATAATTTATCATCTTTTCATTCAGAAAACAAAAATTAATAATACAAAATATTACTTTTTAACTGGTAATGTTATCATTAAATTTTATCTAGCAAGATTTATTCATTACTTTAAATTAATTTTGGTATCGTTTCTGCTTATTATTCATTTACGTAATTATAAACGGTAACGTACGTCCGTACGTCGAGCGAGTCGACATTAAAATTAACATTAATCGTCTTTATTCCGTAACTATTCCAATAAAGTACGTATTTAGACACAGAAATTTGGCACAAATTAGACATTTTAATTTGTCCAACTTAACACGTTGGACGGGCATAAATCTAGTAGCAAAAATTAAAATTTCTATATCGAATCCCAAAAATACATCCGATTTATCTTTTCTAAATTTAGATCTTAAAATGAAAAGTTCAAGACTCCAGGCAATTGCCTACAGTCTTCAACACCAAAGAGCAAATTTCATTTTAATTTCTAAAATTCCTTTGTAAATCCATCTCTGCTTATTCATTCATTCAGTCATAGATAAGAATTCTTATTAATTTTTCTCTTCAATTTGGAAGATCTGATGTAACTGCAAGTTATGCAATTGTATAAGAGCTTGTAAACTTAATTTATTAGATGTCATTTTTATGCTACTAAGAAAACTTTATAACAATAATAATAATACATAAACACTTATCTTATGCACCTGTGCTATAAATTTTTTAGGACCAAAAAGTTTATAGCTAGTAATGCACGATATAAGAACAGGAATAACAAATTAAATTTTTCATAAAAATACAAAAACATTAGCGTCGTATATAAGGTACGGTCCGGCAAAATCTACATAATAAAGCATCGGTAGAAGCGCATCTAGGTAGCCCCGACGGCGATATTTCCAACACTACACCGTTCGACTATTTAGCCCACGAGACCGCGCCGGCCTGGAGCGGCCCGCTCCGCCGTCGGCAGAGTATTCGACGTCCCACGGTTTTGGGGGCGCACGGAGCTCGCACCGAGGCGCACGTAGAATAGCTGGTAGACCGACACGCGTTAAAAATCGTAGGGGCTACCTAAGTGCAATTTTACCAAAGCACCATCCTATCCAAAGAACGCAAGCATCAATTTAATCCGGACTCCCATTTACTCACGAGACGTCAATCCGACGCATCGTCTCCCGCCTCTCTCCTCCGTCGGCCAAAGGCACGGCCGTCCGAGTCGAGGCGGGGATCCCTCCGTAAGAATTCTCGCACGGACCGAGACCATCTAGAAGCCGTACCTCTCTCGGATGGCCCCGACTTTAAAGCCCGGCATGGCTCTTAAAGAACGGCAAAGACATAAAACCAACCGTAAAAAAATGCCATCTAGAATTTAGCACGCCAGAGCCCAGCGTAAACAAATCATTTAGAAGCAATCTTCCTCGACTTCATATTACGCTCTCTCCAGTTCCATTCGCAACACACAGCTGTAGATAGATATTTATCGGCCGTATATAAAGAACGACGCGAAGGATGATCAACCGCTTCATTACGTAACACTTTCCTGCATCTAACCGATACATAACGACAAAATCGCGGCGCAATAAATAATACACAAAAGATTATGTAAAAATGAAAGGTAAACACTACTTTTAAGTCGATTCTCTCTCATTATTAATGAACGAGAGCCATTATTAGGGAATATCGACGAGCGTAGGAATTAACGTTACGCGAGAGAAGTTAAATTTAAGGAATTAAAGAAGATTTGAGTCAATTTCTTACGTCGTTGGTGATTTTGAGTCTTCCGAATTTGCCCTTCGTAGGTTCTTCTACTTTAATTAAGAAGGGATCGGCTACACTGACGATGACGCTATCGTTGCTCTTTGGCTTCAAAGGAGTGCTCTCCGTGGTACCGTAACACCTCACCGCCTCGTCTTCCTCCGTTTCGAAGGCGTCGTCGATGGTGAATTTAGTCTTTGACATGTTAAATTAAATATCCTCGCCTCCACATGACCACTTACACCGTCCTCTATACCCGCTCCGACCTCGATCGAACTAAACGACTATAACACGAAATCCGATGCGCCACCGGGAGGCGTTCCGCACTTTTCCTAGCATTTTTACATACCGATTTTCTATTGGCCGAAAACGGCCATCTACGTCTCGTCTATCTAATCGGATAACTCGTACGAAAGCCTTCGAAGATTTACAAAGGCGTGTCGTGTGACGAAAGCGTCGACGACCAATAGAGATTTCGTCTCGATGACGACGCGTTTGTTATTAGTTTCGGAAAATGCCACGTGGCGTCAAAATACTTTAACTTCGTCGTTAAGACAAATTTTAGACGCATTAAATTTCATTAAATATTGCTCGTTACATTAAATAAATATGAATTAATTGCTTTGTAAATTTTATATAATCCGGACCGATCGTAATTAAGAAAGCCATATCCACGACCACTCCTTGGCAGTGACGGACGAATCTCGTAACGACTACTTAGTTGCCAAATTTTTCTTTTCCTTTCTAGATTTATTTTATTCTTATCACTTCTGACTCTCTTCTCGTATCGGAATTGATATGGACGTTATTGCGTAATCGCTTCTCCTTCGAAGATCCGGCCGAAGCCTTTTTGCTCTACCCTACGAAATTGCTGACGAAGAACCGGGAAAATGCCTTCCGAGGGGTCTTTTAAGGGCAATCGGCCTCTATATAGGCATTAGAGACGCGAAGAAAACCCGGAATACTTGTCCGGTCCGTCCCGACCAGAACACACGAACGAATTATCAGTATTCGGGGAACGGAACCGCTCGGCCCCTGCTGGGCTTACCACTTCTGACATTTGCGAAATGTTTTTTTTTTTTTTTTTTTAATAATGCCTGAAGCACGAATGACGGCCGGATGGCCGAGTGGCTAAAGTGGTAGTTACCACTCTGGGGGAACCGGAATCGAATCCCGACCTTCGCCACCAGGCCGCCCAACCGTATGCCCGGTCGACCTTATCACGGGAATATTAAAAAAGGCTTTCTTAGCGCCCGCGGGACGAAAAGAGTTAAATAAGACTTTCTTCGTGACGTAAGAATTTCGATCTATTCAAAACTCCGAAAACTTTCGATCTACCAAACAGCGCGGCACTGTTGCGAATGCGCTATCCTTTTTATAAATATACAAAATTTTGATTGTTTTTGCACTAAAAGGTCCATCGTAGGTTCAGAATGACCGACAAAAGAGAAAGCGGATGGAGGGGACGGATCCGGGTCCAACTTTCAAAAATTTTCTGGGTTTTTCAATTCACCCAAATTCGATTCCGAGTCTTCCAGAGTTGTAGCTCGGGGCCTTAAATGCCTCGGTTATCTGGTCGGCACCAAAAATTGAATAAATAATTATCTAGTTTTATTAATGTTTCTTAAATGTGTTTATAGCTCACATTCATTTCAATGTCATTTCGAAGTATTTTGGGCTTTATTTAGAAGCTCGGCGATTTTTGTCACCGGAAATATACCTCGAGAACTTCATTCTCGTTCGTATCGATTGACTTACGGTAAAATTGATTTCGTTATACTTCGTTCCTCTCGAAGAATAAGACCCGGATTCACGAGTGTCGTTAGTTACAACGTCGTTAAATACAAAGTTACGACGTAGCGTACAAAGGCCGGATGGCCGAGCGGTCGAGGCAGCAGCCCACCGCTCTGGGGGACCCGGGATCAAATCCGGACGGGTCGAAGAATCCCCAGGAATCTTTCTGGGGGTGGTCCGTTCGGATATGTCGGACCCCGCCCCTCACCACCCAGTCGCCCCATTGTAGGCCTGGCCAAACCCATAATGGGCCTACCTCGAGAGGCCCCTTTAGGTCTCACAGGGCGAAAAGAGTAAAAAAAAACAACATAGCGTATCTGCAATTCGCAGAACTCTTATTAACTCGATTTACCGTTTACCAGAAAATATCGATGATCCGATTTCGAGAATATACCGTTTCGTTCAATAGGAATATAATCCGGGAAGTTTTAAAATGGCGCGTGTTGTTTTCAACGTGAGTTTCGCTAATTCGGCCACTTCTTATACAGAATGGAATCGGATTAACGAGCGTGTGTAGATCTATTAAAGACAATAAATGATGCGGTCGGTGACGCTCGTTTTTGGAGGCGGCGACCAAATATACGGTCCGCCGAAATGTAACATTATACAGGAAAACGACTAACATTTTCACGAAAGATCAAAGGCAATCAAATTGGTATGGCAATAATTGAGGGCCGCATTAGCGAGAACACTTCTATATGTAATATTTTTGGTCTTTTCCAGCACCAGAGGATTTCTTTCTCCGGTGGTAGAATCAAATTTAAGCGTTGCTGGTTATAATATAAAAATTCGCTAATTCGAACGATTAAGTTTTGTAATAAAAACTTATTTGATTAAAAGACATATCTTAGGCATTATTGTAGAAAAATCTCGGACTATTTATATCTGTTTACTTACTTTCTAAAACGTATCTCGAATATCGTCGCGCGGCTTATCGACTTATCTAGAACGGTATCATTTACTCACTTAAAAAAACAATACTTGTAATAAAAAAGCAACAGAACTTTTGATTTTATTTTTATCATTTCTCAACTTCAGAATACTTTCATTTATATACAGTAAATCGACCGAAAAACACTAAGATATCTGGAAGCGAACGTAATTTTCCTATAATACCGAGGCTAAACTGAAACAATTCGTAATTAACTTCCGTACTTACAAATTTTAAATAATTTACAACCCAATTCGAAGATATATAAATGTTGCTACGCGAATTTGTTCGAGAACACAATTTGGCATTTTCGTTCTTAAGTCGTAATTTTACGTTAAAATATGCGCAAATGAAAACCTACGAGCCACATTTTCTTCAGTATTCTTCTCTTAAATACAATTCATAAATTGTATCACTCGTTTCAACATTAAATTCTCCTACGAAAATTATCCGTACGTAATTAGAACATCGAAAGAGAGCCGCCATTTTGAAAGCGGTTTGATAGGAACCTCTTGAAAATGGCGGATCTCTTTCAATATTCTAATTGCGCGCACATAATTTTGAATTGTATTTACCAACGATGAAATGTCCGTGCTTCTTATCACTTAATAAGATAAAATATAATGTTTATCTTTTAGATATCATTTAATAACTAATAGTTTAAGTGACACGAATCACATATTTTCATTTTAAAAGAAAAGTTGCTAAGCTATCGCCATTTATTAAGTTCGTATCTCGCAAGATTGCAAACACGCGATAAACCTTTTCTTTTAAAATATATATAAAATGGCCGCAATTTTTAATTTTATAAACTGTATTTGCAAAAACTGAATTAATTTTACGTTCCTTTATAGTTAAGGAATTAAAAAGATGGTAACGTTTCATTTTATGTCGAATATTACCGTATTTTACAGCACCCCCGTTTCTGCGCGAGACATTTAGGAAAAGTATTGGATGTATTTCAGCCATTCCTCCCCTTTGGTACTCGTTACCATTCGATTTTTCTTGTACAGTAGAACCTCGAAAACTCGGCCCTCGATAACCCGGCACTCCGGATAACTCGTCCACACCCTGGCAGGGCAAAAAAATCCTTAGTTAATTAATTTTCATTATAGAAAACTTTATAAAAGTATAAAAGCTCTCATAAAGTATTTTTCTGAGGTCTGTCTTATCAGGTAAATTACTGTACACAGTGTATTCATTAATTTTCATTTTCATGTAGTAAAGTACGTAGCCTTCATAAAGTACGTAGTTTTCCTTTGTTTAAGGGTATTTGGGCAGTTTATTATCTGTTATATTCTCAAGTAAACAATACATACAAGTACAGTACAGTATTTTCTGAGGAAACACTCGTACTTATTTTTTTTAACCCCATTCCCGATAACCCGGCATTTTCACAAACTCGGCCACCCTTCGGTCCACATTAGGCCGAGTTTACGAGGTTCTACTGTATTCTGGTTTAAAAAGGTAAACGTAGAATGCGCTTTTATTTTTTAGGAGTCGAAAAGAAGTAATTTACCATTAGAATATTTTACACGAATATACGCAAAAGCGGCTTAGCTTCTTACATTCGAGAGTTAGTCTATGTAACGTTATCCGAAGGCTGTTTGGGAAATCCATTAGCCTATGAGAGATGGCAACTTTGCAGAATTTTCTTTTTTTGAGAAAATTCGCGTATATGCCCCGGAATACGTTAATTATCGTTGTTGTAATTTCATGTAAAATACTGTAAAAATCGATCTGGCTTAATACAAATAATTAAAATAACTATCGATAGACATTGCTGTAGATAGCGGGGTACTGTATAGTAAATAGACCACTATCTCGAAAGCAAACTGAATCGTCCATTTTATCTATTGTCAATTTCTCTTTTCTCTTCTGTTCATAGAAGCAATAACGCGTATTCTTATAACGTGTTTGTTTAAACAAAACTAAAGTCTCTCTTATTTATTATCATTTAGATAAAATATATTTTGAAATAATTAGTTAAATTTGTAAGAAATAATTTTCTCAAATGAGAATGAAAATAATAAAGAAAAACAAATATATAAACTATACATTTAAACTAGTGTTCCAAAACAAAAATAGCGAGAAGACTGTTGTTATTTGGAGTCCTTTTGGATAAATAATAATGGCCGGACGGTCGAGTGGTCAAAGTGGCATCCCACTTTGACCACTCGACCGCTCCGGGGAGCACGGGTTCGAAAAAATCCCCCAGAATTTTTTTGGTGGTGGTCCGTTCGGATCTCTCGGACCCCGTCCTTCACCACCGATCGCCCCACTGCGGGCCTGCCCGAACCCGTAACGGGCTTGCTAAAAGAGGTCCCCGTAGTGCACACAGGGCGGAGAGTTAAAAGCGTAAACACCCATTTCACTTTTTTAAAATTTCGATTCATTTCCATTCTGTGGACACTAAGAGGTTCTTTTTTGCAAGTCCAAAATAAATTCGGCCAGGCCACAACGAGACTTCCCGAAAACAAAGAGGGGGGTCCAATATATTGGGATCGACACGCCTGTGAAAATTTCGAACTATAAATATCCCCATTTAGTTTGAAATTTTCGAGTGGCAGCAATCTACCCGTTGAGACGTTATACGCTTTTTTCCCTTCCTTCGTTAGGTATAATTTATAAACTACATTGGTTTAACTCGATGCTTCAATCCTAACAGCGAAATTTCTGAAGATCCGAATACCAACCATAAGATCCAGTGGACCAAACCGAACTAACGAACACTAGTTAGGTCGTGGATCTTCGCTTGGCCAACGGGTTTGTCACTGGAGTATTCCGGACTTTCTTCGTTTGGGCCGGTAGAAAGTGCTGCCGGGAGGCATTTTCCCTCGGCAGATCGACCACGAGTCGCAATGCCGTGAAAAATAAATAAAATCTAAACATTCGATGAAAGCTCGAACCGGAACCTACGAGAGAAGGAATGACCTTAGCTACATATCCTGCACTAATTAAAAATTAAATTTTGTCAAAATCCATAAGAAATCTTTTTTATTAGAAGCGGTCGCTTCTTTCAGTTAAAAAAAATGTCATTGGGATAATGAAAAATATGACCCATACCTATTAGTGGAAACTATTCGAAATGGGAAATTCTTCAACAAATACGCTTTCGCATACGCGTGCTCTATTACATATTTCTGTAATAAAACAAATCATTTTTAAGACATTTTATATAACTTGAATCGGAAACATTCTTATTAGACAGGGAAATGAATCCGTCTTTGCAACGGGAAGAGGAACAAAGCGCAATACGTAAAGCAAAAACAACGAAAAATACAAGGCAAAGATAATATAGAATGCAGAAAATTCTGTAAATTTGCCAATGTCTAATACGTTACAACCGAATTTATTATATTCGACTTACACAGATTCCGGCAAACAGGCCTATTCCGTGTATTTTCATGACGTATAAGGAGTTACGAAAATGCCGCTCCTCTAGAATACATTATTATATCGTGCACCCTACGTATAACACTAATTAGTATACTGTTTGTATGTGATAATAGCAGCTTCTTTGCGATACATTTACGTCAGTCAGTCACGATTGATTGTAGCGAGGGGAAATCTCACTCGCGTCCATACATCCATCACTCACTCACCACTTTCTCGCGTTTTAAAAATGTAGATTGCCCGTCCACTCGCCCGGTTTGCAAACATTGTTTACATACGGACGTCGACGATACGAGGATGAGGATGTCTTTCGTCACTAGGTAGGGTGGAAGGAGACGTCGTCATCTCGCAACCGTGACGAATGGTTGTAACAGCTGTCGCTATCGGCACCGGGATGCGGTCACTTTCTTAATTTATGTGTAGTGAATAGACGGGCGAGGATGACTAGAAACAATACTAGCGTATCCTTAGTTTCTGACATTTTGACCTTTTTATTTGTACGCTTTGTCTATGATAAAATAATTCGTACCAGGAAAAGATGCGATTTATCAACCGTTGCTATTTTTCGTGTCTAGTTACTGAATAAATTTAAATTTAAGGCGATCTAGAAGCTTTCTTTTATAATTCGGATCCAATTTTCTTACTTAGACAAGTGAAAAAAGTGTCGTACTTTGTATGGCTATTAGTTCGATGTCAAAAATATCCCGTTTAATTATCATAAATCTGCACCCAAGTTTCTTACTAAATCTACACAAAATTAACCTAGGAAAAGATTTTTTAACGCATTAATACTTATTAAAATTCATTGCAAGTCTAGTCGAACACCGACGAACACGAAACGGGTCACTCAGTGCAGAAATGACGTGGGCCTTGATTGTGGGTGAACTCTCCACGGAGAGAGTTCTGCCAAGCCTGCAATGGGGTGAACGGACCGGGATGAAAATGATAGGTTAAAAGAGAAAGTTGAAAAATCAGAAACAAAGCTAGAGTCAATTTTTAAAATTTGATAAGCAGAGAAGTTATAGAATGTATAAAAACAGTTTTAGGAATAGTCAGAACAGGAAATATGATAACTAACAAAGCAACTTTGTAAAAGAACAAACTATAAGTAGCAGGAAATGTCAAATATGAATGACAAAAAATTAGGAAATTAAAAATAGAACTACAAAAGTAACAAAAATAAAAACACAGCCAACAATATTAGAAAATGTGAGACATTTTATAAGAATGAGAAAGAATCTATAACTCTCGCTTTCCAGAACACTAGTATATAGAACTAGAGTGGTAAGAGAGGAAATGCCCAGAAGATAGCTTGCCCGCTTGGAAAAGAACAAAATGTTTCATTTAAAATTTTTAATTTATTTTTTAAATTGATTTTATTTTTAAAATTTCTAATAACCCAACTCAGACTTAACCTTGAGTTCTTTGGAATGGAGTATATACATCTTAGCTGCTTTGGGCAAACTTATGCAATATACAATGAAATTCACTCATGTACAGTAAATTATGAATATTCTAAACACTTTATAAGTTTAGACAACTCAGGTAAATGAAGCTCAAACAAGAAGAGCAAAACAGACTTGAACTAAGTTATATATTATCATGTCATCATTTGACAACTTCCACAATTAAAACTGGTAATTGTTTTATAGATCAAATGTGGATATTAACTAACATTATGCAATGTATAAAAACAATGATATAAAATTCTATAATTATAAAAAGTTAAAACAATGGAAAAATTTGGTATGTGCTTTGATGTCTATAAATTAAAAATTATAAATATCCAGTGCACATTCAAAGAAAGAACTCTGTATATTAATCATGTTACAAAAAATGTAAAATTTTATGAATATTTCAAATAGAATACATAGAGAACAAAAAGTTTCTTTGTAATTATACAAGACTATTTTAAAACGAACAATCCATGCATTAAATTTTTTTGTTTTTAACTTAACACAACACATGCTAAAATGTCTATATTAAAAAAATACATCTTAAATTTTATTTTTATATACTGAAGGAAAGGTTAATCTTCTCTCGAACTCTTTACCTTTCTTTTCGTACACTGAAAATAAAAAAAATATTCAGTAATTTTACTACGACTAATCAACTAAAATTAATGTTTTAAATATATTTTTATGCAATTATGCACTGATCAATAAAAGAGCTGTCAGAGATTTAGTATTATGGAACATTTGTTTTTAAAAATTTAATTAATTAAATTTTTGTTTAGTACAAAATCAGCAATATTTGCCTGATATAATCATTCACTTTTATAATCCCTTAAAATGAGTTTTTGAACAAATAAATTGAAATGTTATGTCTCTTGAATCTGACGTTCACCCAAGTTCAAGAATTACTCAGGAAACTATTTTATTCTCAGAAATTTTATTTAAATGCATTTTGAATCAGTGTTTCACTGATCCCTCTTCAGTCTATAAGCAATAAAATTGTTATTGTTTATAGACTGAAGATGGATTGACAAACATAATCACTTTGCATTGGTTCCTGTATCAAGTTCAGGGACAAACTATCGACTGATCCTCTACTTTTGTTTGTGTAGCATCCGTACCATTAGGACATTTCTGGGTCTAGGAAGAGAGGATGTTACAGAATTTTTATACTAATGGAAGATGCAACTACTGAAAACATTGCTACAATAAATTTCGTCTGCCAATAAAAAGCATTCTTGTGTTTGTGATGTCACGGATAATGCAATCTTTACAGTTTCTTGCAGGTCTGCAACAAAGTAATACTTTAATTTATAAAGTAAATACATTTGTATAAAATTTTACAGGTGATGCAATTTCAATAGTTGTTGCTGTGTGTATGTCAGATATTTTTGTTCTTATAAAAGCAAAAGCATCATATCTGAATATGCTTTTAACTTTTGTTTCAATTGAATTTAATGGATCATATTCTTACTGACATTTTATTACTTATTATTATAATACATTGAAAATCCATGTATCCTACTTTTCAGGATATTTTTGAGTTATTAAAATTCTGATTAAGCAAACAAATTACATAGTAAAAATAAACATTTAAATAAAGAAAATGTTTTTTTATAATCATATCTCTAATATTTAAAATTTTATACATATAAAAATATCTGAGATTGACTATTTTTGAGTTAGACTAGTGTTTGTGACACTTTCTCTCTTCACTTTATAATAAATGTTTTTTTCCATTTAGTAATTATTTTCACATAATATTGATAGAAAACAAAGTTTCATAAGAATTTGTTTAATTTCACTCAATAACGTCAAATCAGCACAAAGAATTTTAGCAATTCTTTGTTCTATGAACACAAATTTAACTTAAGGTTTTCTGCAGTTTTAAAAATACATGCAATACATGCATAAATATTTATGCAATGCATAGCATCAAATGATCTAAGTTTTTTCTGTCAAATATCACTAACACACTAATATTCTTATTAAGTAATTCAAAATGATTAATGACTACTTCAACTGTTCTAAACTTTCATACGTGTTCACACTTCAACTTTGGAAATATTTAAATAGTTCATTTTATTATTTTAACAAACATTTTTATGATGCTAATGACAATCATCTGATTGCATAAATGTAATTAATTGTAGATGTTTTATTTCACACAGCACAGACAGTAATACATTGAACACAAGATATGTAATGTATATAAACTAGAAATTCTCACAAAGTTTATTCAGAAAATTTCTAAATGCGAGTTTCAATCAACAGTGAAGTGCCTTGACAAACATGCCTCATGACAAATGTCTTAACCATATAAAAATACTTTGGAGCTTGTTACAGCATTTTTTGTTAAAAAATATTTCTTTTTTGTGAGATTGCTAGTCAGAGACCTTACTTTTTGGTTTCTGAAATGGATTATCATTTGTCAAATTTTAATGAATTTTATTGTTGAGGCAAGTGCAAGGTGCTCACTGTATAAATTAGCTTGTGGTATTGCACTTACCAAAAGTTAAAAATAAAATAAATCAATCATAATACATTCAAAGTAAAAATGTGAGAAGACACTATATTATAATTTGTGATATTAATAAATATTTCTAAGTGCTGGAGTGAAGTGAACTTTACTTTCATTCATTATAATTTGTGAAATTTCATAAATTATGTCAAATTTTACATGGAAAATAACTATGGGATAATATAGTACGGTTAAAATTTCAATACTTTGTTTTTACTGTTTCCGTCATCTGGTGATAATGGTTGCAATTGGTGTGGTCTCCTGGTGGGCTCTTCAAATACTCTTTCGTCTCTAATAAATGCAGTTAACAAATTCATTAAAAAAGTCTCAAATACTATTCAAATATTAAGTTAATTTACTTAACACAAAAATAAACTAATTATTCTACTAAGTTACTAATTTATTTATTTAGTAATATATATTAATTATTTTTACAAATTCCATACAAAACTATGCTTTAAATATTAACCAGGGATCAGTAATCTATGGTTCCTGAGCTGCAAGAGATTCTTTGATAATATTTCTGCATTGTCCCAATATCATTTCCTTCATTAAAAAAACATTCACTGAATAATATATAACATTAACTGTGAAATATAAACTCATTGCCATAAAAACTGGCATACCAAGGAGGAGGAGTTGTATTATTGCAAAACTTGGCATGCAGATAAGTCTCAAGTAGATATGGTGTTAGATGTTAAATGATTAGTTACACTGCATAATGCCAGCAGAGGTCATTAAAGTTCTTTCACCACAACCTATAAAAAAAAAGCACAATTCTTTCTGTAGTTTACCTGTTGCAGAGGAATGCTGTATCACTAGAGATGCATTTATGTTGCAATCAAAGACCATATGAACAAGAGGGTCATCGAGTTGCAAGAAGCTGGATGGTCAATTGGCCAAATAGTACGCCACCCAAGCAGTTCTGACAACAGCGTGAGCAGGTGTTGTGACCAGTGGATAAGAGAGAAAGAAAGAGAGAGAGCTCACATGGTGTCTCGGCTTGGGATGCCCTTGGCAGACTACTAGCCGAGAGGACAACCTGGTCTTCCAAAAAGCATACAAGTAGCTGATTGTGTCGTCATCCACTATCCAGACACGAATGGCACCATCATTATGGGCACCTGTGTCTGTCCCTGTGTGAGGAACATTTGGTATTGTGGCAACCATTATATGTGCTGCCATTGACACCACCCACTATTGCCTCCATTCGAAGCAGTGTCCCTCTTGATGGGTGTGGACCACAATGGAATGGAACCAGATCATCTACAGTGACGAATCCAGATTCAATTTGGGCACTGACAACGGCCATGTCTAGAGGCCCAGTGGTGAATGCATCAATCCTGTCTATGGTTTGAAGTGGAACACTGGCCCCACAGCCGGTGTGCCACTTCAAACCATACATATGATAGTCTGGGGTACCATAACATATAACAGTTGGCTACTTCTGATAGTGATGCAAGCAACCATGACAGCCCAGCAGTATGTTACTGATATCCTGCAGACACATGTGTTACCTCTCACTGAAGGACTCCCAAGAGCCATTTTCCAATAGGGCAATGCTCAACCACACATGGCAACGGTGTCATGGGACTGCATCTATCACATTACCTCACTTCTCTGGACCCAATTTGTCACTGAATGAACGTGTCTGGGAACACCTAGAATGCTAAGTTGGACAGCCTAGGAGTTTGGCCTAACTAGAAGACTGCTTGCAGCAACCATGGATTGAAATGCCTCAGGACACCATATGGCACCTGTATGCCTCCATGCCCTCTGTATCATAATGTGTATTCATGCTAGAGATGGTCCTACAGGGTACTAGAATATCCTTTCACTTGTAGTTTTTCTTGCAACACTTGATCCTTTTGCTTTCATTTTGTATTCACTTACTTATATCACTGTTACCCTTACACATGTACAATTTTGTTTGATTCTGACAACTCCTTGGTGTGCTAATTTTTATGGCATTGAGAGTAATTTAGCAAAATGCTTGCTACACGATATCTAGATTCTAAAGACCAGAAATAAAAATAATAAAGCACAATATCTTTTCATCAATGACCATCTACTTTCATGTTGTAGAATCAATTTTCTGGATTTTACATTTAAAAATGCTTGAGTCAGGTCTAATGAAGTACGCACCTGCGTATAATCGATAAACGCAGTCGTAACTTATCGCTTGCATTTTCAGGACACGCCACCTGTTATCATAGAGTTTTGAGATGGACCCTTCCGATCCGTGATGAAATAGGGATGAGGCAGTTGCTCAAGATGGGCATTTAAGCGGTGTCACCTGACTGTTTTAATCGACAAAACTAATCGATGATAACTTTTTTATCCCCGCTTATATAGCGTGAGATTTTTAAGTGGAAAGTTACGGTAATCATTTATAAAAATTTACGATTATATCTTTTATTTCAATCAGTTTTTCCCTTTCAACGTCTTTTTATATTTATTTTATTGTAATTTGATTCGAAAAAGGAAATAAATAAACATATCAGCTTTCACTTAGCTCAACTTTCAGGGACCAACGGCGGTTTCGTTTGTAATTGGAGAAGAAAGTGTTTTCTTTCACGGTTAGTGTAGAATTTATTATTTTAGCCGTCATCCATCCCATTGCCATTATAAACAAGCTGTTAATCGTAAATAAAAGATCCGGCTTCCGTTCCGATGTCATTGGTGCTATCTATCCCTTTAAATGTTTTCTCTTCTTCTGTATGTTCAACTATTAATTTTCCAATACTTTTTAATATTGCACGAGACATCTTCATAATTTCAGCTAATAAATCCAATATTGCTCTCTGAACGATGTTTATGTCCATTTTGTCGTCTGCTTTTTGTTTGTCTTTTTTCCCGTTAAGTGTCGCCTCTCGTTTCCCTGTAAAACAACTAAGTCTTGCAAGAAAGTCGAAGTTAAAAATTAATTAATATGATTATTAGAAATTTATAAATTTATTAGAGAACTTCGACTTTCTTGCAAGACTTAGTTGTTTTACAGGGAAACGAGAGGCGATACTTAACGGGAAAAAAGACAAACAAAAAGCAGACGACAAAATGGACATAAACATCGTTCAGAGAGCAATATTGGATTTATTAGCTGAAATTATGAAGATGTCTCGTGCAATATTAAAAAGTATTGGAAAATTAATAGTTGAACATACAGAAGAAGAGAAAACATTTAAAGGGATAGATAGCACCAATGACATCGGAACGGAAGCCGGATCTTTTATTTACGATTAACAGCTTGTTTATAATGGCAATGGGATGGATGACGGCTAAAATAATAAATTCTACACTAACCGTGAAAGAAAACACTTTCTTCTCCAATTACAAACGAAACCGCCGTTGGTCCCTGAAAGTTGAGCTAAGTGAAAGCTGATATGTTTATTTATTTCCTTTTTCGAATCAAATTACAATAAAATAAATATAAAAAGACGTTGAAAGGGAAAAACTGATTGAAATAAAAGATATAATCGTAAATTTTTATAAATGATTACCATAACTTTCCACTTAAAGATCTCACGCTATATAAGCGGGGATAAAAAAGTTATCATCGATTAGTTTTGTCGATTAAAACAGTCAGGTGACACCGCTTAAATGCCCATCTTGAGCAACTGCCTCATCCCTATTTCATCACGGATCGGAAGGGTACATCTCAAAACTCTAGGATAACAGGTGGCGTGTCCTGAAAATGCAAGCGATAAGTTACGACTGCGTTTATCGATTATACGCAGGTGCGTACTTCATTAGACCAGACTGTACATACCATACTTTCCAGCGTATAAGACGACCCCCGACTTTTACAGTTAAAATATAGAGTTTGGGATATACTCGCCATAAATGACTACACCTGGTGTATAAGATGACCCAACTTTTGAAAAGATTTTCCTGGGTTAAAAAGTTGTCTTATACACCGGAAAATACAATAATTATTACTAGTATGAAAACTAAAGTTATTTTAAAAGTTTATGGCCAGTAAATGCACAACTGTGACTAAACAGAAAGGAATATGATTATGAAGAGAGAAAATGATAATATAGTGGTACTGTTATCAGATGTAAAAAAATATAGCAGTGTGAGAAAAAACATGAGAAAACTGAAACAGATATTTAAGTTAAATTGAATATTAAAATATGGACTTATATAATTTGTTATATTATGGTATGTATTATTCATAATTTTAAGTTAAAAAATATCATCTTTATTCACACACTTTACTGTATTACAGATCTTACAACACATTGGTCATCATTTAATGCTATAGATTGTGCAGTATTTTAGCATGTATGAGGTACCATAGTTTTCTGTAATATCTCAGTTTAGTAGTTATGGTATACTTAGTATTGACTCATTGCAAAACTTAACAGCAAGTGGCAATATCAGTGCTGATAAGCAAGTTTAACAACATATTCTACTCTTATTTGTTAAATTATTAGTCAGAATATATAATCTAACATTATATTTCTTAAGTTTTTATTAAACTCAAGTCAAGGATTTTATTAATGATGCGATTAATAAAAAATAATCATATTCTCTCACATAGAATTCAAGGCATTAAACCCTTCCTGCTGGTCTAGTTCAGGCCTGGCCAACCCGTGGCCCGTCACGTTAAATTGTGTGGCCCGCTAAGCGATATTATATATCTATTAAAACTTTTGTTTTCCATTATGTGTATACCAAAACAATTAAATAAATGAAAATTTGCATGTGTCATTGTTATAATGCGCAAGTGCGAGTACGAACTCTTGGTATAACAATAAAATCTTATTCATTCTGTATTTGTTTTACTTTTTTAAAAGCATGTTTTCCTAAATTGTGGCCTACTGTAATATTATGTGTGATCAAAGTCGCCCACGAAACAATTTGGGTTTGCCAGGCCTGGTCTAGTTCAAAGTAATGTGTTACAGTGGTGTTTCCACCAATATTTTTTAGCATATTTATTACTTAGTTTTGAAATGTTTAGACATAAAAATCTATTCTGGATAAATTGAAATATCTAAATTACTTATCAACTATCAATAGGACATAAAAAATATTAGCAATAGACCATTTCATTTTAACTGTAAAAAGTAATTGTTTTTTACAATTAAAATGAGGATTATTTGTGAGAAGCCAAGCAAGCTGTATAATGTCCTTAAGAAATGGGATGTCATCATTCCTCCTAAAGTACAGTAAATGCAATTTTTGTTTTATTATACCATATTTATGTATTTTATTTATTGTTTTAGTATTTTAATTTATTATTTAGGGCATTTAATTATGATACTTTTATCTTAACCCCTTCTGAG